GGTTGTTCTCCTTCACGAACACCGTGTACTCGGCCTGCGCGAACACCGGCGCGTTGTCGTTCACGTCGGCCACCTCCACGGACACGGTGGCCGTGGCCCACAGCGAGGGCGAGCCCCCGTCCCTGGCTGTCACCACCACCTCGTAGTCAGAGGCGCTCTCCCGGTCCAGGGCGCTGTCCAGCACCAGGGAATAATAGTTCTTGAAGGTGGACACCAGCTTGAAAGGAACATGGGGAGGCAGAGAGCAGGTCACCTGTCCATTGACACCTGTGTCCCTGTCGGACACGCTGATCAGGGCGATGACTGTGCCCACTGGAGCATCCTCTGCCACTGGGAGAGACAAGGAAGTAACAACTATCTCTGGTGAACTGTCATTTTCATCCAGAATTTCCACTAGGACAGTGCAGTGACCAACCATAGGTGGATTACCTTTGTCTGTAACATCTACATGAATTTCATAAATGCTTCTATCTTCAAAGTCAATAGCATCCCTCAATTGTATTTTTCCTGTTCTTTGGTTTATTAGAAATTTCCTTCTTACAGTAGGTGGGACCAAAGAGCTAAATGAATATACCATTTCCTTGTTTATTCCTTCATCCGCATCAGAAGCATTTAGCCATATTACCAATGTTTGGTTCGCTTGATTTTCAGGCATTTTCACTTCATAAATCGATCTGTCAAATACAGGGGCGTTATCATTGGCATCCAATACAAGTATCAGCAGAGAAACGGAACTAGTATATTCGGGTCTGCCTCCATCTGTTGCAGTAAGTAACAACTTAAACTGGGTATTTTCTTCACGATCTAGCAATCTTCGCAGAACAAGAACTGGGAATTTGCCTTTGTCTTTTTTGTTTATAACATCAAGAATGAAGAAATCATTTGAACTGAGTTTGTAAGTAAGCATTGCGTTCTCTCCAACATCCGCATCAGACGCGCCTTCTAGCGGAAATCTAGAGTCAAGCAGTCTAGATTCCGATATTGAAATCTTTTGTTCCGTTACAGAGAACCTCGGAGGGTTGTCATTAATGTCCTTCACCTCCACCTCCACGTGGAAAACCTGCAGCGGTCTGTCCACGATCCTCCAGGTG